ACAACAAAACCTCTGGGACACACTGAAAGCTGTCCTTAGAGGGAAGTTTATAGCTCTAAGTGCCTACATCAAAAAATCAGAAAGAACACAAATAAATGACTTAACATTGCAACTCAACACACTTGAAAAGCAACAGCAAATCAGAAGTATTTCTTATACTATTTAAACATAATATGAATTCAAGCCATAAAACTAGATTGGTCTTCCTGTAATTGTGATATCTGCTCACATAAAGAGTCCATAGCAATTTTGTGACATTCACTGATTTTTATCCATTCATTCCTGAAGATACAGCTCTGTGATTCCTGAGTCACACAGCTGTTTGGTCCCTGTGTCACCATATACCCTCAACATCCTTACCTGTCCGCTCTTCGCTGAAGAAATGGCTTTCATATTTGCCACTCCTGGTAGTTATGGTCACATTATAGAGGCGGCCTGGGGTGAGAGAGCTGAAGGAACATTCGCTGACAGACTTGGCAATGGTGAGGGACTGAACCAACTTGCCACCGTGGGAAAGGGTCACCATGTAGTTATCAACATCTCCAGGTGCCGGCAGCCAGGAAACGCTGAGGTAGTCATTACGACCAGAATTGTTGACTGTTACTCCACTCACACTGGAGGGAACTGTGAGTTCAGCAAGGGAGAAAATTGTCAAAGAAAAACACAGTCAGAAGTTTGAGTCAACTACTGTGGTCAGTGAAACTGTGGACTAAGGCAACCTGATTTGATTACATAAGAGGTTATGAAAGTATAAGAATTCCATATTGGCTTCAGGAACTTGAATCCTCTTATAACAAAAGGCTAGGAAAAGAGAAAAACGAGAACAAGGAGGCGTTTGGGATGCCTCATAAGCCCAAGTATGCCGATACTGTATCTTTACGGGGTTGGTATATGTAGAGTGGAGGCATATGTAGGTAGGAGGCATTTTTGCATGAATGTACCAGGACAGTCTTGGAAGGAAAGGGAACAAGCAGTCCAAATGAATTAGTTTGAGCCAAAGTCACCAATAAAACGAAGTTCTTGAGTGAAAAGGAAAAAAAGTTAAATTTTCTAAAGATCTTAGACTCTTGGATACCTTAAACTTTCATGTGATAGAAGTTTTTTAATTCCTGAGGTATTTAGTAGCAAACACAAGTAGCGGCACTGCTATCTTTTGTAAAGCATTTTCTGCCCTCTAGCGGCCAAAAGCTAAAAGCCTATCCTGGAGGCAGGAAGCCTGCAAGCTGGCCAGAGAGAGTTTATGTGCTGAAAACCATCTTCCCCACATCAGCCTCAGTTATCATTTGCTTGTATCAATAAGAGATCAATGCCACAAACATTTACTGGGAACTCTGTATTTTCCAGGTGTATAAAAATGGAAAATATAAGGATTCCTTAAGGTCATTCTGGCTAGAAGTATAAAATGGCACATTAATTACTTGGGGTAAAAAGTTCACTGTATTTTGAAAATAAGTATCTAGTAAATAGTATTTCCATAGGCGAATAGCACAATGAAATCTTACAGTATGTATGGAGTGCACCAATGTTTTTATCATTCCTTGTTCAACTTTTAACTGGTCATTTTCGTATAATTATCAGTATTAGTACATCACATGTAAAGGACAGGATTTGGCTAAGTGATGTCTGAGACTCTCTTCTAATCTAATAAACTCAGATTTTATGAATAAGCCCAAAGTCTGTCTTACACCAAAAATTATGAACAGCACTCTGTTGAACAACTGTGAATATTCTTCTATGTATACGGACATTTTCTAGATTTAAACTTAAACCCTGAGTTGTAAGATTTAGATTCTGGGGATGGAGAGATGGCTCAGGGCAACATTAAGAGCACTGGTTGCTCTTGCAGAGGATCCAGGTTTGATTCCCAGCACCCACATAGCAGCTAACAACCATCTATAACTCCAGTTCCAGGAGAATTGAACACCCTCTTCTGATCTCCACAGGCATGGCATGACACGGGTGTACTTACATACATGCAGGCAATACACTCATACACATAAAATAAACATAACAAATAAAAAATATAAAAAATTTAGGTTCTGGTATATTAATTCTTCCCTCCCTCTCTCCCTCCCTCCCTCCCTCCCTCCCTTCCTCTTTTCCTTCTTTCTCCTATCCATACATCCCTGACTTGTGCTCAAATAATTTTTCTTGCTTTATAAAACTTCTAGAAATATGTAGTCTACTAATAATTTAACTGTTAATACTTTATTAGAAAATATAGAACTATCAGAAGTTTTGCCAAAAGTATATTTCATACCATTAAGATAAAATAGACACAAAACTTACTTGATTTTCCTTTAGAATGAACATTTCTTCAGATTAGAAATGGACTTGTTAAACATATGCTGTCTTTAGTTCAATTATTCTACCATTTTATCTAGCCCAAAAGGATTTTGTTTGCTTATTTCAACTCTGTGGAAGCTTATGTGAGATGTAAGAAAATATTTCAAAATGATTTCAGTATTTACCAACATTTCAAGTATTTGAAGAACAGTAGTGATTACCAGTATGGCTTTAGCCATTGAATTATTTATAATTT